TTTACAAAAAATTAATATTATTTGTTATGATGTTATAATATTAATTTAGGACTATGACAAGAAATTCCAATAACAACAACAATAATAACCAAAACAATAATAATCGACCTCAAGGATATCGATTATCAGCACCAGATCCATTCAGGCCAAACGACGAATTATTCAATCACCCAATCAAGCCAAGGCCGAATTCACAAATAATTTTACCTACTTCGATGAGTAGATACAGCTCTGTTGTACTACCTAAATCTGATCAAGAATTTCATATGCTGGCCAAAATTTTAAATTGGCCTCCTACTTCTCATAAACGGGATAATAATTCAAATCAAACATCATCATCGCAAAATTTTCATAAAAAAACACTTCATTCATCTTCTTCACCAAAATTAAAAAATCGATTTAACGATAGTGATAATGATAATAAACCAGCGGGTAACTTGGTTAGTGACAGTGAAATAATTCTAGAAGCTTCAAAATTTTCTGTAACCAGTGGTGACATCATAACAAATAATCCATCATCATTATCAACCGCAGCGTTTTTCATATTACCTCATGATCGTTATTCAATGTCAAAACATTCAGAGGTAATTTCATCACAACCGCATTCTTCAAATTTAAATTTATTACATTCTTTACAGCCACAAGAAGAACAAGAGTATGAAAATGAACTAAATGAACATGAAGGAAAAAAGCAAAACGAGCATTTTACGCAAAGTCAAGATCATTATTCACAAAATTCACTAAAACAATCATTATCATTCATTTTACCAACACTTGATTACGGAATTGAAATATTCGATCAAATAACATCTGACGATGATCCAAGATTAATAGTTTGGTCGATAATTTCTTCATCATCAAGAAGAAGAAACGAGGGAGATTCTACCTTTTCATCTTCTTCATCTTCATCTAACAAATTCACAATTAAAAAAAAAAAAAGTAACATCAGCTCAATTTCAAACATCACACCTACATCAACTTTAAGTAGCTCTTCTTCATCCGATGATGATGATGATAATAATACTAATGTTAATAAGAAACGTTGGAGTGTGAATGGAACTATAGGAAAACCTGCCAGACCTATTGTTGTAACTACCGCTACTACTACTGAAAAAAAGAAATATCATAATCAACAACATCATCA